GATGAAGTTCAAAAATTAATGAACTGCAAAATACCGTTACCAACAAAACCACCAAAACAGATATCTGTAACTAATGAAGAATAAATGCATGATGTTTTCAGCAGTGAATTTTTTTTGCTTCCAGAGTATCTCTCTCCTTAAAATTTTTCCACTTCCTTAAGAATGATACTGTTTTCTCATTATATCAGTATGCCCTGATTCGCCCAGCCTACATAGAGAACTTCACAAAGAATAAACACAGGAATTAAGAAGGTAGCACCATTAGAAATAATCACTCTACCCAAATCAGAAAAAAACCTTCATTTGTCCTTATCCAACATACTTTGACATTCAGCAGCCTAATAATACAGGGTAAAGGGAGCTCTCATAGCTGTATATTGGTAACATTCATAATGGTCATGCATATTACAATCAGAAGTTTTCTAGGGTACCATTTGCAAAGTAAGCCTTCATGCAGATAGGCATTCAGCTCATTAACTCCATTTTCATATTTCCTATCAGTCCCTGAGAAGTTAATATTTCTACCTACAATATGGCTATTAAAGGCATTATAACGATCATACATTTAGCCATTTGTGATGGAAATGCAACATGGCTTTAGGGAGAAGCAGCACAGAAATTACAGCAAATTAGCGGTGACGAATATAGATCTTATTTCTGAAATGCTTTCTTTTCATAAGCAAGGTTGCTGAAGAGCAACAAATTATTTTAGTCAGGGATACAAAACTAGCCAGTGCCACTTACCCTTAATAAGTGGCTACTATGAATCCAAGGCATTTGGGGCTCTGAGACCTCTCTAATTGAGCATTTCCTTTACATAAAATCATCCGGATTTTGACCTACTATAGGGTCATCATCATCCTTCTTTTAATTACTCAACAGCAGGGCTGGGAGAACTTAAAAGAACCAGGGATTTTCTTTGCTTAACAAGTCTTTTGCCTCTTCAATTAAAGTGATCTCTTTAAATCGTTCAGAATTCAAATGGGGGTTTTTTGGTGGACAATTTGCATTATTGCCAGCTGCTCAAAAACCATAAGCTAGGGCTTCCAAAACAAGGGGGTCGATTTAAAATTAAGACTTTGAGGTGGGGGGTGGAGGGAAGGGAATAAAGACAAGTTCTTTTTCTCTGCCTTCTGGCTTCTGAGCAGTTACAGATTGCATTTTAAAGCTCTTCTCTACAATCTTCAGGACTAAATAATGACTTTTAGAAAAAAAATGAAAACTGACTTTTAAGTAAGCATGTATCTCAGAGATAAAGTATTACATTTAAACACCATGGTCTTGAGATTTACAAAAAAGTATCATTTAACAAATTGATTTGGAGATTATCATTTACATCTAAGTACTGTAAGAAGTTTTTACAAGCTACTCAGTTTGAGTATCGTGGAAAATTTTGGATTTGTATACATACTTTATTAAAATTACTCTTATTGAGCTATTACAAAAAATTTACTTATTTCATGTAAACTACCTCCATAAATATTTTAATTTCTGGTGAAGTTTGCCAATCCCAGTATGAACTTCGAATCACAGCTACTGAAGAATAGATGAGCTCTACAGAATTCTTCATGTAGGGTCAGAAAGAAAGCCTTTCTCCCTCAGGATTTATTTCTACCTGTCACTAAAAGATTAAAAATAATTAATTTTGACCATATTACAGTAAGAAATAAATCTTTATTGGCCAGTTAAAGTCACTATATCTCAAATAATAGGGAGTCCTTGATGCCTTTACCATTAGTTTTTCAGGCTAAAGGTGAAACAGACATAATGAGCATCATTTGTTAAATGATTAATATCAAGTGGGTACACAATTCTTACTATTCAAGGAAATTGGTAAGATTATTTGTTGGAATTGCTGAGTTGCAAGAAGCTGAACAAGTTAGTACAATGTAATATTTATTTTAGGAAAGAGTAGGCTATGCCCTGAAAGTCCTGATACAGCTTCTGGCCTGCTCAAACTCTTGCAACTTCATTCTTTACCAATTGGACAAAAAAAAAGGTACAATATGTCTTCTCACTAGCACCCAAAAAAAATAGATTTAGTATTTTAGAAATGACATCAAAGGAAAATCCTGATGATTGCTGCAGGCATGAAATAGTTGATTAAAGTTCCTGCCATGTTGAATTTCTATCATTGTAATTAATGAACCGAAAGGGATTGCATGAAAACGTTTTGTAACGTTCTTACTAGATGAGTGTACTATCCCATCAGGAGAGTAACACTTTTGAGCAAAACTCCTCTATATATATACACACACACATGCAGTTTCTCAAGTTTCCTGGTCATATTTTAAGTCAGGGACATTGTTTCAATAAAATACCAGAAATGCTTTAAGAGGCAATTAGTCTGGCCTCCTTACTAAGGGATTTAACTTTTTATTTGCTCAGAGCTCTACTTTGGACTCCTACACTAGAATTCTTAGAGAAATTCATAGTTAAAATACCGAAATGTCTGCTAAACAAGCAGATGACTGCAGATGCACCTAAAAGTAGACAAGATCTTAACCAGCACTACCACTTGTGTGAAAGCTTTACTAACAAGATACTCTTTGTAAACCTGTAAGCCACACTCTATTCACTGCTCTGGTTTCAGCACACATTGCGCTCAAACTAGCTTTACTGTAGGTAGGTTTGGGTGATGCTGGCAACGTAATCGTGGTGTCACAGAATGTACTATGGAAAGTTTGGATAGTAAACTAAGGTGAATAGCTCACGCTGAATGCGGTGCTGCTATGAACCTATCACAAGCCATACCCAGCCTATCCCTCCCCACTACTGAACTACCAGGGGACAACTGCATCCAGGACACAAACCTATCTATGCAGTCAAATGAGAATTATGGTAATGAAATCTAGGCCTTGTATGATTCGATATTTATTTCATTGAAAACTGACACTTGAAGAAATCAACATATACTTCTGGTCATCAGTATTTATTACTAGTTATCATTTCCATTCAATTTCAGCCTCTACCCTGCACCTTGAACCTCCACAACCTCAGCTGCCATCAATGTCAGGCTTCTGACCTCCTTGGCAGGCTGAAACCGGTCTGAGATTGTAACTAATACTTCTGGGTGAGAGGAGGAGTATTGCAGACCTGGATTTGTACTAGAGAGGCTGAAATTGATTTTTAAAAAAATTATAACCAGTTACTTTGGGGACAAACAACTGTGGCACCCAGAAGACTGAGGCAGCACAAAACTGGTTAAAAATCATGTTCTGTCAAGTCAAAGAAACACACTTGTAGGCTTGTATGAAAAGCATAGCTGAGCTATTTTCAAAGTAAACAGAAGGAATCCACAGACGAAAGCTGACCAAAGGATGAGTTTTGGGAACAGCTACAGAAGGCTTAGATTTAAGAAAACTTAAAACTTTCTAGACCACTCCCACTACCAACAATTTAGGAATATAATACTAAGGAATATTTTACAGAGAATAAATATTTTGAAGACATAGAAAAATAGTTCACAGCATCAAGGTACCTGTAATATATTACCTTGAAATAAAACTTGTATTTAAAAGATTACAAAGAGAAGATTATTCTTGTAGTGGTATCAACTTTTCATTCATACAAATATTAAGCAGAGTATATCTGTTTTTTCATATATTCACATTATTGCTTGCTACCACAACTGTACAAGGAACATATTCTTAACTTACATTAATGTTCATGTACAGTAATTTTAGATACCTAAAGCAAATTTAAAAATATGATTGAGTTGCAATTGAAACAAAAAAACTATGTGTGAAGATATGTACAACTATAAGTAGAAGAATGAAATACAACTGGCCTGACCCAAGCATACATCATATATCCAGTTAAAAAAAGTCTTATACTTGTGCAGAAAATAAACTTTGTAAACCAAATGCGCAGAAGTAAGGGTGTAATAAATAATTAACTAACATATTTAAACTTACATGGTTGCCCAGTGTACCCTGCTTTGATTATTTTTAATACATGGCATCTGCATTTGCATCTGCAACTGTACTGTTCAAGATTTCTTCAGTAACTTTTTTCTGCTTATGTGGCTTTAAAACAAACAAAAAACCCACAAAGCCTGAAAGGTCCTCTTGGACAATACATTTTAGTAAAACAAGTCCTTCTGCACCCGTGTACAGGATCTGGTAAACAATATGAATAAAGCTGATACATGGCATTGGCCTGAATTAAAACCACTACATTATAAACTGCAATACTAATATATTTTTGTCATCTTGAGTTCTACTAACCAGACGCATGCAATTCTCTCAGCAATTCTTCTAGTCTGAGTAAAATAATTCTATTTTGCTGCTTTTTTTTAAAAACCTTTAAATTAGAACTTTTTCAGAACCAGCTGATAGGACTTCTTCATGAAAAGCACTAAGATTTCTACTAATGTAACAATATTTGGGTTCCAAAAAGCATTTTCAAGAAGAACCTTATGTCTCTATTTTGTTGGAAGAGGGTAGCCAATATCCCCCCCAAAAAAAAGAAACGCCCCCCAAAAAAGAAAAAAACAGAATATTTACAATTGACTAGTTACTGACAAGTTTAGGAAGATCTTAGAAGGTACTTCAGCATGTAAATGAATGATTAAAAGGACTTATACGATGTACAGTAAATCAGTTGTGTCACTTTGGAATAAAAAAATACCTGCTCATTTGTATACCATTTTCAGCTGTGTATTTATAGTAATATATATATGTACACACGCGCGCGCACACATATAAAAGACTGAAAAATCAAGATACATTAATAAACAGGAGCAGTAAAAGTAACAATAACTTAAGTAGTAGTTAACATTTGCGTGAAATTACTTTGCAGAGTTTGACCAAATGCACTTAGAACATGCTCTTATTTAAAAAAAAACAAACAAACAACAAAACAAAAAAAAATAAAAAAGAATGAAAACACCACAAGATTCTGTAGAACCAATGCTATGTCACCACTAGGAGAGCACCAAGCAAGGCACCATTGGAAAGACAACATACTTGAATAAGTCTCTATAAATAAACCAAATGCTAATCTGGTCGAAAAATCGGTGTCTTTGGTAAAAATTCTATAAGGATGACCTGTACAAAAAGAAAACAAATATATATTAAACAGAAGACAGCAGCAATCCTATTATCTATCACAATGATAACTCCCATGCATTTTTGGTTTGTTTTTTGTTTGGTGTTTTTTTTGTTTGTTTTTTTTTTTTTAAAGTTCATCAAGTTGTGATGACTATCAAAGACCACAGTGCTTTTCTTAGGTAGGAGACCATCAGAAAAGTTATGTTTGATATAATTGTTTTGGGGTAGAAAACAAAAACTCTTCAAGAATCAAGTTGAATTGGAGAAGTTTTCCTACCAATACCTAACACATCTAAACAAACTGAAATAAGCTACTGCATAATTATTCTTTAACATAATGCATTTAGTTTATTAAGAAAAAATTATGAAAGACATACGCATTCATTTAAAAAAAAACAAAACAGAAGGCACAATGTATGCAAAGTTAATTTTCCATTACACATGCAACTCCCTTTACTTCAAAAATGTTTCCACTTAATATAGGATTCTAAACCATGTTTTTAGTTCAAAACTTGTATAGAAAGGTGTATCAACCTTTGCAAAGTTCCCATATCTAACAAATCGTCAAGTAGTTAACAAGAAACTTGACGAATGCTTTTGTATGATCATTCTTATGGTCCCCATTCAAATTTAAACTATGTGTTTCAGAGCTATGTACACATGGTAGGGTACGCTGCAGAATAGAATCCAAGTATTTTTCCTACTTTAAATAGAAAGTTTAAAGAAAATGTTTACTTGCACATTTTCTTTCTTCAGAAAGACAGTCAGAATAAAGCAGCATGATTGTATTCATAAACAAATAAATGCATCTAGTAACATAACTAAGGATTTTATTTACTTGTAAGGGGAGCTTGCCTTTCTAAGAAGTTAAAGAATAATTTCTAAATGTTTCTGATTGTAAAGGAGAACACAACTTGGTTGCTTAAAGAGTAAACACTTTATCTCAGTATGATAGCATACTGAACGTCAGAAAAGGAAGCCTCAGATTTTATTTCTAAGGCAAACACTTTTGAAATAATGAATACCAAAATCAGGTGTGTAAGTTTATTTTTAGAGATATTCAGAAGTGACCTATTTTCAGAAGTGATGCAAACTGCTCAAAATCCATTGATCATTGATATGAGTCAACCACAGGATGCTTCAGAGATGCCAGGGCTTCTGATACTAAGGCAAGGTTTCAAAAAGGGAGCAAGAAGTAAAGCTGGAACACTGTGTTTATGCCAAAGGTGTAAGACCATCTTGTCTTTATTTAATTTAATTATTTATTTACTTAATTTAGCATCTACAACAGCGGATTTTGAACCTCAAGTTGGCAAAGCACCAAGTTTTGGGTCCAAAAGTCGAATTTAAATCATCTGTTTTAAAAAAAAATTAAAGTGTTTATTGTTTAAAATTAAATCATGAACCCAATATTACGGGCAGTTTTTAAGAGACTAGCAAATCAGTTCACTGAAAATGAGAAAATGGTACAGAAAAGTTTTGTAAAAATTTTCTCATTAACTGTATCCAGATATATTAGCTGTTTCACAAATTGAAAATAAAATCTTCAGTCTTTATCCTATAAAACTATACGCCCATGCTTACATATTATTAAACAGGTCAACTGATTTTAAATTAACATTACAGATGAATGTTCATCTGTAAATGTTGCCGGGCCAAAGTATTTACAAACTAGCATTATATGTGGTTTTTTTTCAATTGAATCTGCAAAACATTGAATGTGACAACATTTTCCTGTAGAAAAACAAAATCTTCAGTGAAATAAAAATCCCTTCATTTAGGTAAAGCTCAAATCTACTTTCTGAAATTTGCTTTATTCCATTTTCAGTCACATCTCATACAACTAAACCAATAAATTTTGTAGAATATATGTTACAAAAAGTCTACTTATTCAGTGAACAGAATAGAGCCATTCCGTAAAAAAAGCATTTTAAAGATCTTATGTTGCAGGCTAGAAGTAAGATCTAATACAGAAACAGGAAAAAGGGGAAGACTGAAAGAAAAATATTCTTTCAATATAATTTTCCAACTACTTAATCACTTTAAAATTTTCTATATGCATGATAGCTTTGTTGTTTCAAAGAACAAAGTACCATTTAATGAAAGATCACAGATAACTTAGAACTAATACAGTAGATATTTCTCAAAGGCTAATCTTTATTTTTCAAAAGTTGACCCTTCCCAGTGCATATTTCCTACAGCATTAAACAAATTATGCAAATTCTAATGTTTCTTACATTTTAGTAGTTTAATTTCATCCTACTTTATGTACCTCTGAGATATTTTGAAAACTAACATAAAAACGGCACCAAAAAAGAGCAAGAAGGTTGCAAGCTAAACAAACTGAAATCCCACACTGGACATCATTCGTTTTAAACCACATATAACTTCTCACTGTATATTTCCAAGAAGGGCTTATGGAGTCTCAGCCAAAGACTGAAGAAAGCTGAAACTCCAGACATTGACTTCAAAATATTTCAGTGACACCAATTGGAGATAAAGATACTTTCAAGACAGTTGAGGTAAGAGGCAGTTAAAATCTAAAAAGGCCAGAGGTTTCTTAAGCTCCAACAGCTTAGTTGAAAGGTCTTCTTCCATACTTTTAGACTTGATTAGCATTATATAAAACAGCCATATCTGACTTGCTGCGTAACCAAAGTTGTGCTTATTCTTTATACAGCATCTAAAATTTCACACTCCATCAGCACATGTTCAAGCTATTTTATCTTGGCAATTAATTTATTATTTTTCAGAACACAGTGAAGCCTTGTTTTCAAGTCATTCATAACTTTATAAATCAGTCCTGCACATGAAACCATGCATCTGTGAACCGTAGAAAATCCTTGCACTCAGGCGATTAAGCTCCTGACACCTTTACTGATTAATAATCATGAAAAGAATAAGATCAGAAGCAAAATAAATGATCATTTAATAGAGAAACTCACAAAACAGCCCTTTAACTTACATATTCCATCATGTTATTCGTTTCACATTTCCTTTTGCTTAGTCTCCAATGCAAGCACAGCTAGACAAGGAGGAAAGAAAAAGAAGAAAAATGAGCTGTATTTTATTGCAGCACACAGACTAGCCCATTTGTCCACCTTTCATATTTTTCGTTCAACAAAAGCATCTGTTTCCATACTGTGCAATTCAAACTCCAACAGTACGAAGCTGCTCCCTGCGGCACTCACCTTGTGGTATAACCTATTGTTTTCCCATTCTAATAACTTCTCAATCGATCTTCGTGTCTGGAAGACAAATGAGAAAGAATTTTACTCTTGACTGGTTTTAGAAAAACTTTGTTTTGCAGCTGCTTTTGTGTGAAAAGGAGAGAGGTACAGGACAGTGACTGAGTACAGGGTGGTCTGTAGTACTATCAAAACTTCTCTGGTATTAAATAGTAACTACAACAGAATCAGCTTTTTATGACACCCAAATAACTATCTTCAACCAATTTGGAACAAGGACTGTTCATATATATCCTTTCTGGTTCTTGCAGCCGTTATAACTTTAAACCCACAGAAATTCTGAAGTGGTCTAAATACAAAAGCAGGAACATTGGTCCCCCAGTATCAGTGGTCTAAATATACTACTTCTAACAAGGTCGGTATCTAAACTGACAAATGTTGCAAACTATTTTGCAATGCTGTAGGTCAAGTACAAATACGCAATACTCTAAACAAAAGAGAAATTTTTGTTACTTTTATACTCAGATTTTAGAGACTGAAAACCAAATGCAGAAAGTTACAGTAAATTGCACGAATAAGCATTACTAAATCTGTGATTTGTATAAAGAGCAAATTTGTATAAAGAGCAAATATGTATAAAGAGGAAACCTTAGGATCCTAAAGCAAAGTTTTACTGCCTCCGTTGTCCACGCTTGACTTCAGACAGAGAATCCTGAAAGCTGTTCTGCACAGCTTTTTAAGATTATGCATGCTAGTATTAAAGGACATTCTGTGCTGTAAAGTTTCATAGCATTTTGAATATAATTATTCAGTTATATTTACATTTGAGAAATACATACTGACATTTATGGTCATTTGACTGCCAGAATATATACTGCTTAGCTCTAAATGGGATTTGCTACTGATTATGAATAAAAAGAGGATAATTCATGGTGCCAGGTGTTAAGATGAGACCAACAGAGCTGCAGGTGCAAAAGGACGGAGCAATGACAAGGATCAAATACAACTTAGTGCAGCTGCAGCTTCCTTACAAGGCAGAGAGGGGTGAGGGGAAGGGATGAGAAAGCATCTTGCTGCTATTACTACAAAATACAAGTACTGTAAATGAACCTTAACAAATCAAAATGCTGTGATGAGAAAAAAAGATTGTCTGAGGAAAATAAAAATTAGACAACCAATCATTCATTTCCCACCAAATATTAACATCTTCGTGCTCAAACATCAGTTTCCCTCTAGTTTAATATCGAAGCAGTTGTGGGGAAACACATCTAGGCATCTACTGTGGTCACATGATTAAAAATTAGATCATTGCCATCTATGAGTAATCATTACACTGATTTTTTTATTATGTTTTATTTTAAAAAGCACAAGTCAAGGAATTAGTAGGATGTGGATGTGCCAGTGACTAATTTATCGCATCAGTTGGGAACTGAGTATTTTGGGGGTTATTGTTATTATTATGTTTTTAAAGACAGTGCCCTTTAACAATAATCAGCAGACCTCACTTGTTTCTTTGTAAAGATAGCCTTTTAGAGTCTGCTCTCCTTTTAAATGAAAATAGGGCAGCAGTTATGGTCACACTTTTGTTAATTTAGTTGCCAGTCAGCTCCAAATCAAAAGAAAATAAGGCTGCAGAGTGTAATTAACATTCAGTTCAGTCGTTTTGTCCCTTGTCTAGCCCCCAAGCTTTGTTAAAATTGCCATCTGAATGCTGAAGGCTGTAGGGAAATCGATTTGATTCTAATCGCACCATGAAAAGAACATGATCTAACTGCTTTCAGCCCTCCGTAAATCTGTACTAGGTCTTTAGCACAATGCAACTTCCAATTTAAAAAGCACTGAATGTCTCGTCAATGACTTTGTGAAGAAAAAAGAACAAGGAGCAGACATAAAAATTCCAATAGTTGTTTAAGCATTAAAGTTCATTTGCATCACAGCAAACCTGAAAAGGGCTGACCTCTCAAACCGCCTCTCAGGTCTATGAAGTTGTAGCCTTGACAAGCTCACATTGACAGAGCTCATTGACTCTGAAAGGCTACTCTATCAATGGTGAAAAATGGCAATAGGTTCTACTCTGAGCAGGCATCTGCCTGCCCACCCGCTGCTAAACCAATGGCAAAACCGATTCAAAACCTGAATCTACCTTGTAATCTTCCTTTCCAGGACCTTTTAATAACAGATTAAGATCACTATACAATTTAATTTCATTGTTTGCCCCAAAGAGTGTGAAAAACATCCAAGCTTTTCAAATTCCAATAAAATTACATATATATTACAATACGTACACACAAATAAGAAATTGATAGGTAGTTATGTACTATTAATTGGTTTGTTTAAATAAGAAGCCAGTTTAAAGTAATTTGACTAACGTGAGATAAAAACACATGCAGCCTCAAGACCACGATTATTTATGTTCCCAGAGCCTTAAATACAATCCTGCTTGGAGTATAATTTGGGATAGTCATAGCTCCCAAATCACGGCATATTATCAATACAGGAATGTTAATGAAAATTAGACTGTAAAATATTTCTGCAAACCTCAGAGCTCAGAATAAAAAGAAATGAATTAAACAGCATCACACAATTCACTATAGTAAGTTTTCTTCCTACTTGACAGGTGAAAAAAAGCACTTGCACGTGCAGCTTAATTAATCACTGCTCTTGACATCTCAATGATTTACAGTGAGGAGCAGGTGAGGATATACAAAACCAGAAAGGAACACTTGATTTGAGTGTAGCATTTCCAGCACACTAGGATGACAAGCTTATATATTCTATCAATGGTGTACAGAAAAACCCATACAGAAAATTATTTGTTAGCCACAACAAAAGCACAAATTAAGTGGAAGAGAGACTTGCTTATTAGGAAGATTTAATACCATCCAGCTTTTAAAATTTTTTCTTTAAAAACCCAATCCAATATTTGAGCAGAGCTAAAACTGCAATTCAATACACTTTTTAGCATACCAATGATAAGAAACTATGCTTTGTAACATTCTCTGTGAAAAAGTAGATAGTCTTTAATGTTATCCACTAGATTTTGTGAAACAGACCTCTTCAATCAACTATCTAGATGCAATGTTTAATGAAAAATTCCTGCAAAATAACCGATTCTTTAAAGATATTCATGTTTGACAGTGTCTTCTGAAAAATCAGACTACCAAAAAAGCCCAACTCAGAATACACTTCCACCAATGCTTATTGCTCTCAACTAAGGAAAATAAAGTTTTGCCCTTAAACATGGATGAAATAAAAATAGGAAGACTAAGTACGAACTTCTCACGCAGAAAGAAGGCTGTATTGAATACAAATAGTGTACTGAATACAAATACTGTTACGTCTTTGCAGTGTCTAGTGAAGTTAGCTTATGATTCCAGATGCAGTTATGATCTGGACTGGGAGGCTGTGCAGCCGCAGAGCCCACTCTTGCAGTGCGTGACCTGGAACACGCACGATACACTAAACTACTACTGCATGGGCCGAAGCCCCCTTAGCTCCTGCTGTAAATCAGTGAATGACTGGTACAATATTAAACAAAAGGATCTTACATGACTCCTAAAATGGTGCTAATTGGAATACATCCTTTTGTCTTTATTTAAGTGGGGAAACAACATGGACAGTAACAACACAATCCTCTGCTATCGATTTTATTCATAGTTTTCTGGGAACAGCAGAAGAATCTCCTGTTACATGCATTTGATCTTTCACTTCCCATCTGAAAACTCCAAAACATATGTAAATGTAGTACAACATTAGTCCAATAAATAGTACATGGAGATTTTCAAATTCCTTCATATAAAACTTTACCACAATCAAGTACTAATAATTTTGAATACTGCCCTGAAAAAATACACTTTATGCTCAAATTTCAAAATACAAAGAGACCAATTTAAGTAAATTTTTGTTGATTCTCATATGGCCAGAATTTGTATTATACCCCACAGAAGAAAGGCGAAGGATCCTATCGGAGGTCTGGACTATACCATCTTGGCTCACTCAGAGAGAGAAATGATGGAAGCAGGAATTTCTGTTCATTCTCCAAAGATATACTTGACTACAAAATTTATAGCCAAGTAATTTAGTTATCAGCACAAACAATGAAATATCAAGCTAGAAGATAACCAAGTCACACAACTGTACGCTCACTTTCAACATGCCAGAACATCTCCCAAGTCAATTCTGATGCTCATATTGGTGCCAAGAAAATGCCAAAGCTGTACTCAGTACAGGCATAACTGAACTACATATATCTTTTCTGTGCTGAGAAAGTCCCCACCTTGAATACTGTATCACCAATAAACCCCTTAGAAACCGTAAATTGGTAAGATTCCCATCTTACTGAGGAATTCTTTATTTGTGAAGGGCAAAGACGACGAAGGTCTTCCTTTTCTGTCCTATTAAACTGTCTTTATCTCAACCCATGAGTTTTACTCTTCTAATTCTTCTCCCCTACCCTGCTGGGGTGGGGGGGAAGCAAGCGAGCAGCTGCGTGGTGCTTACTTGCTGGCCAGGGTTAAACCACAACATGGTGCTCTCTGTAGCATCTTGAAATAACTGCCTTGTCCAACAGGATTACTATTGCTGCACCTTGTCTTACCTTACAGATGATTCTGGGCAGAAAGTGAGCACAGATCAAAGCACAGATCAAAGCTCCTGATCAGGCAAAGAGAAATATAATCAGCAGAATTCTGGAGCAGAACTGACAACATCAAGTTGACCTCAGAAATTTCCCATTCTAAAAGACAGCCTTGATAACATTGTCCCGTATCTTCACATGATCCATAAACTGACCTAATTTGTATGGGTCTCAACCCTGGGTTGGTAAATCACCGAGATGAATTTAAAGCTTAATGAATCAAATCAGATCAAGTACTTTCTGGAAAGGTCTCTTCCACCACATTGTCCACTGATATAAAAAGGAAAGCAGCGTTATTTGACATTACTGCCTATTACAGTTTTCAGTGTCTAAGCCAAAGATGCTTCCCCAGAGACTCTTGTTACCTTGATTCTCAAACTCCTAGACTGTTTAAGAAAGCACCAAAGCCATGAAATATAGAGAG